TGCTTTGCTTCGCCATCAGTTTCCCTGATGGCTAATGTTGTTGAGCATCTTTTCATGTGCTTATTGGTCATTTGTATATCTTACTTGAAGAAATGTCTATTCAGATCATTTGTTCATTTTTATTTATTTTTGTAAAATACTTATGTATTTATTTGGCTGCACTGGATCTTAGTTGTGGCATGTGAACTCTTGGTTGCAGCATGTGGGATCTAGTTCCTTTACCGGGGATGGAGCCTGGGCCCCCTGAATTGGGATCATGAAGTCTTAGCCACTGGACAACCAGGGAAGTTCCCATTTGCTCATTTTTTAATTGGATTGTTTGTCTTTTTGTTGTTGAGTTACAAGAGTTCTTAACATCTTCTAAATACAGGTCTCTTATCAAATATATGATTTGTAAGTAGTTTTCCTATCCTGTGAGTTGCCTTTTAACTCTCTTGATGGTGTTCACAAAAGTTTTTGATTTGAAGAGGTCTGGTTTCTCTTCTGTCCTCTAATTCCTTGTGCTTTTGGTGTCATATCTAAGAAACCATTGTCTGGCCCTTTTGAAGGTGAAAGGAAGTGGCTTTGGAACTTGACACTTCTCATCCTTTTTTGGAATGAGTCCTTCCCTCATTTATATAATGATTCATTCAGAAATGTTTCTAAAACCAAACTACTTGCCCAGTGCTGGGGATACAGCAGTGACAAGGCAAACCCATCCCCTGCCTTCCTAGAGCTTAGAATGAAATGAAAGAGACAGGCGTGAAGCAGGTAACTAAAACAGAAGAATGACTTAATTACAGATGTGTGGGAGAGAGAGAGAGGGCCCAGAAGCCTGTACCAAGGAGATGTGTCTGGTCTGGGGGCTGAAAAAGACCCCAAGGGCAGGCACCTAGTCTGAAATTAAAGGCAGGGATGCATTCGCCAGGCAAAAGGGGTGCAGGGCTCCAGGCAGAGGGAACAGCATGTGCAAAGGCCCTGAGGTGACGGGAGTTCATGCTGTCCAGTAAGGCAAGTTCCCCCGGCGCACTTGCCCCTCCACTAGGTCTTCCTGGGGCGTCCGGTGGCCTGATGGAAGTGAGTGCAGCATGCCATGTCCTTAGTGCATGTACAGAAGAGGTTCTAAACTCTAGGGAGACCCAGATGCATTCCAGCTGCCTCCAGGACTCTGCTGATATTTTGAGAGGACACGCGGGGGCCTCCCCAGCCTCCTCCAGACTCCAGGGTCAGCCCCAGCCTGGCTGAGCCCTCCTTGTAGACACACTGGCTACTCTGCAGGCTGGGAAGGCCTAGAGGTGCAGCAGTCCCAGACGGGGGTGGCCTGTGACCCCTGGCTTCCCATATGCTGTCGAGGCCTGTGAGGCCATAGGGACATGGGCAGGTCTCCAGGGCACCTCGCCTCCACCTTAAGACCCAGTGTGTCTTTTTCCTCACTTTCCTTCCTGCGATAGTTTCTCCTTCTTCAGACTGGTAGGTATAAAAGTGGATCAGCAGCTTGGGGTTTTGTTGAGAATTATTGAGATGAAACATCCTTGGAGGGGTGGCTGGGCAGCGGTTGTTAGTGGCTGACTCCCCAGCCCACCGCCCCGAGCCCCTGCCCCTGCCCTGTGACACGTACTGTCATGATACAGCCCTGGCCAGGCCTCTGTAGCTCCACAAGGAAGATCCTGGACCCTGGAGACAGCCCAGGACAGGCGCAGACTCTGAAGTCTTCCCATACATTTCCAGTGCCACCCCATTCATTTGTTCATCTCTTCATTTGTTCATTCACTTAACATTCAACAAATATTTGTGCAGAGTTTGCCTTGCGTGGCTTTCCTGCTGGCTCAGATGGTAAAAAATTTGCAATGTGGGAGACCCAGTCTCAATCCCTGGGCCAGGAAGATCTTCTGGAGAAGGAAATGGCTACCCACTCCAGTATTCTTGCTTGGAGAATTCCGTGGACGGAGGAGTCTGGTGGGCTACAGTCCATGGTGTCACAAAAAGTCAGACACAACTGAGCGACTAACCAGTCGACTAACTTCCTACCTTGAACCAGGCCCTGTAATGGGTCCCAGGGAGTCAGAAAATAGTTGTTTCAGTCCCTTCCAGACAAATGACCCTACATTTACCCTACAACATGACAGAGCTGTGATGGGGGTGGGGTGTCTGGGATGGCTTCCTGGAGGAGGCAGCATTCTGCTGAGAACTAAAGGTGAGCAGGGAGGCAGAGAGAAGTGGCAAGTCCAGGAACGGAATGGGCAGGAGTCCACAGGGAAAGGATGTGCTTGTCCAGTGTAAATACTGGCCTCAGGAGAACACTAACCTGGGACAGCTCTGAAACCACTGGGGCCCCTGTCCTGGCGCTACCCACCTGGGGGGCCTGGGGGGTCCCATCCAGTAGATAGAACCAGAAACCCCTCCAGAGAAAGGCCCCACCCCTCTGTCAGGTCACTGTCAGTTTGCTCAGGGTTGGACTGGAGGCTGGGGCTATCTCCTCCCTCCTTTCTGGCTGCCGAGAGGCTACCAGGGGTCTAGTAAGAAAAAGAATGGGTCTGGGGTTTGCAGAGGGAAAGCTCTCACTTGCTATGTGACCCTGGGTAGGTCCCAGCCCCTCTCTGGGCCCCCCTTCTGTCTTCTCTGTGAGGCAGTGACATCCCGCCCCCCTTCTCGAGGTTGCTGGGGGCCTCCAGGGAGTAATGCTGGAAAGTTCGCCTCGGTGATCTCACTGACTGCTCCCATTTGTGCCTTAGCCTTGGTCCCTGCGTGTGCCGGACAGAGGCCGGCCGGTCCAAGCGTGAAAGTGGCTCTTGGCTCCTTGCTTGAGATTCTGGGGGCAGGGTGGGGCTGGCCTCCTGGGGAAGCCCCTGGAAGCCCAGGTTTCCTTCTCCAGAGGGCTCCAGGGTCCACGCTTCTTCTCCTTCCTCCTCCCTCCTGCCATCCTTCCTTTCTTCCTTCCAATATGAGTGGTGCGTCTAGTGCCCTGCCCAACCCTGGCTCTGCCCTCACAGGCGTCACAGGCTGGGCACCCCCTTGCCCCTTCTCAAAGCTCCCTGCCCTGCATACCGCTCCCAGCTGCCCCCTGGCCTGTGCGCTGGGGACTCCAGCACAGACCCCAGCTTTAGAGATGCTCCTGTTGCCTTCAACCCCCTCTTCTTTGCTGACCATTCACCCCAAGCCCCTGGAGAGACCCCCACCCCGCCCAGGATGCCTCTACATGAGGACCTGGGGGTACTCATCAGGCCGGCTCCCCATGCCAAGGTGGTAAGAAGCCTGGGCTCTGGACCAATCTGCAGATTTAAGTCCCTGCCCCAGCCTTTACTGGCCACATGGCTTTGACAGGTTGTTTAAATCCCCGTGCCTCAGTTTCCCCTTCTGTAAAAATCAGGCTAAGAGCACCCAGGTCGGATGCTTATGAGGGTTCAGTGAAGTGGCTCCTGCTACCTCCACTTCTCAGGGGGATTCCTGGGGCTAGGATGGAATAAAGCCTTCACCCATGGCCACTCTGCTGGTGAGCCAGTCCCAACCTGCAGTCCTAAACCCCGGCCTCCTTCACCACCTCTGCTCCCTGTTACTTCTTATCTGACTTTCTCCCAAGGCTCTCCTGGTGGCCCTGGAATCAGGGATGCTTCCTGGAAGGCAGGTAAGGATACAGATTCCAGAATTCCCGTCTGAGCCCCACTCCTAGGGGTCTTTCAAAGGAACCCAGCTATCTACCAAGAAACCTGGGTGTTTGGGGGCACAGCCTCCGTGCACCCCCCCTACCTCCACTTCCTTCCCCAGACTCTTCTGGCTGTAAGTATTTCTGCAGCCTCGAAACTCCTTTGACCAAGGCCCAGTGTTAATTTGTTAAATCCACATCGAGGTCCTGGGGACCCGTTGTTTATTTTTGTGAACGTGTTGGCAGAGATCACATTTGGGGTGGGGGAGGCCGCTTATTCGGTCGGAATAAATGCTAATTAATAAAAGCTATTTATTTGAGTTGGAGCTCGCTGTGGCCCCAGGGTCAGGCACAAACTGACTATTTGAAGGAAAAACAAACAGAGAGTGTCTCTCAACAGCTTGAGAAAGGCAGAAACGAAGAGGCCGGGTTTATTTGTCTTAGGAAGAATTTGCAGTTAATTCCCTCCAGACTATTTAGACCCTTAAATTACATGGAATAAGAAAAACCATGGGTGCAGGGGAAGGAGCCAGGAACACTTGATCATTTGGCTGAGAGCAGAGTTTTTAAATGTCTTTGGCCTGAAGTCAGTCAAGTAGATGGTATGTGTGAAATAATTTAATGGCAGAAAATGGTGCAGCAGTCACTTTTTCTCACTGTAATGTAATGAGAGAGACAGCGTGGCCTGTCTCCCCTATCTGAGTCCGTTTATCTTTCCCCGGACTCAGCCCCTCACGGTAGCCCCTAAAGAGCCTAGGTCAATGGAGGTGGTTTCAGGCTTTATTTTCAATCCCAGAACTTTGACTGAACAAAAGGAAACTTCGGGCACAGCCCTGATTGGAACAGACCTGGCCCCAGTGCTCGCTGGCCCGAGGCTTCAAGAGTATTTATTTATTTTCCAAATGCCTGAAGCTCAAGCGTGGAACCCCCAGAGGACACACGCCCACCACATCCACTTCTCAGGGGGCGATTCAGGAACTCGTGGTAAGGAACATCCGGCACATCCACTGGGAAGCAAAGTGCAGCCCGAGAGTGAGCCCTGGCTGAGGCCAAAGCTGTGGGTTCGAGTCCTGGGTCACCTCCAAGACGCCTCCTAAACCTTCCACATCCTCAACGGCCTCTCCTCAGCCTGTGCCCGCAGCTGGGATTGGAAGCAGCTTTCTGCTGGGGGCTGGGCTGAAGGAGAAAGATCCTTGTTTTTGAGGGGTCGGGCAGGGTGGGGAGTGGGTAAGGACAGGAACTTCCCTGGAGGCCCAGTGATTAAGACTCTGCGCTCCAATGCAGGGGGCGCAGGTTTGATCCCTGGTCTGAGATTGAAGATCCCACGTGGTATGCAGCACAGCCAAAAACAACGCTGAGCGCAGTGAGCATTTACGGAGCGATGACTGCGCTCCTGGCGGTCCGTGAAACTCAGCTCCTCCAGGAACTTTGTGTGACCCTGGGCAAGCCGCGGTCCTGCAGGACTCCCAGAAGTGAGGTCTTCCCCCCTGGGGGGCTAGGATGGAGTCTCGAGGACATTTCCACAGTGGTAGGATGACGTGATCCATGATGTCTCCCAGAGCTGGGACCGAGAGTGTGACACCCCCCCCCCCCGGCACTGGCATCACCTTCCCTGGGAACCAGGAAGATGAGGGAAGATGACCCAGCAGAGACAAACTTACACCCTGGGCTGCCTGAGTCTCCCCACAGGCATGTCCCAGCTCTGTGATCTTGGGTCGACCTCTGAGAGCCTCAGTTTCCCAGTGTGTGAAATGGGATAACACCTCGTAGGGGTCCAGTGGATGGGAGTGTATGCAACACTGGCCGCTGTTCCTGCCCGAACCCACCTTTGTTGAGCGCATTCCACCACAGCTGCCGTCATGGAGAGAAGTGACTCCAGACCAGCTGGGGTGAGGGGTGTGAGTCGGGTTGCTGGAGCACGGGGTGTAAATCCCTTGCCTGAGGGTTTCAGCTCCAAGGCTCCAGCAGTTTAGCCAAAGAGCAGAGTTGTTTCTTCCGGCACCCCCTTGGCGGGGGCCAAGGCTGCAAAATGGTTTTCATTTCAACACCCTCCGTTTTGAATTGCTCAGAAATTTCCCAAAAAAGTCTCCTTTTTTGGCTGAAAGGCCTCCTGCGTTGGGTTTGTGCCCAAGCAGCATTGCCTAAAGGGGAGGCGGAAATCGGCTCACGATGGCTGGTGTTCCAGAAGCTTCCGTCCGCTCTCTGGGGTCTTGATCACACAGGTTTTCAGAGCTCAACCCTTGATATTTCGGAGTAAGGTTTCTTCCCACTTGAGGAGGTGAGGGGCGAGGGTGGAGAGACATTCACAGCCACCAGACATTCTCATCCATCTTCACCTTTTCTTGGAGGAAAGGGGTGAGGAGTGAAGATTGAAGCGGGTCCAGGAGACGAGGCCAGCTCGCTCCGTGTTCCCTGCCACCGCCTACCCCATTCCCACATGTGTCCTGTGTTTTTAGTACTTTCCAAAGGGGAAAAGTACTGGACTTCAATTCCTGGTCCTCCCTCCAAACCAGGGCCTGTCTCCCTCAGCGCTATGCACATGGTGAACCAAAGAATTCTCTGATCCAGGGTCTGTTCTGGGCACTGAAGAGTACTTAGCAGCAGTCCCAGTCTCTACCTCCGTCCTAGGAGCACCATCTGCCTCAGTCCTGACCATCAAAAATGTCTCCAGACATTGCCAGATGTCCCCTGGAGGCTAAATTGCCCTCAATTGGGAACCACCGGTCCAAACATAGTAAGGTCATCTTTTCCCGGGAAACCCTGCCTGATTCCTGCTTGACGACTCCCCTCCCACCACCCCCACCCCATGCAGCCATTCCCAGACTCATGAGACAGTTTGCCCTCGAATCCAACCAGCTGGTTGCTCAAGAGTCGGTAAACTCTGCGAACGTGGAAGCGTTCAAAAGCCAGGATTGAATGGTATCTGTGGCCGGGCCTGGAATGTTCTCAATGCTAAGCTGAACAACTCAGCATCATGTGAAGAACGTAGGATGGGATCAAACCAGTCTGTCCTAAAGGAAATCAATCCTGAATATTCACTGGAGGGACTGATGCTGAAGCTGAAGCTCCAATACCTCGGCCACCTGATGCGAAAAGCTGACTCATTGGAAAAGACCCTCTTGCTGGGAAAGATTGAGGGCAGGAGGAGAAGGGGATGACAGAGGGCCAGATGGTTGGGTGGCATCACCGACTCAATGGATGTGAATTTGAGCAAGCTCCTGGAGATGGTAAAGGATAGACAGAGAAGCCTGGCATGCTGCAGTCCATGGGGTCACAGAATTGGACACAACTGAGTGACTGAACAACAACATAAAGGGAATATGTAACTGGGGAAGCAAAAATACAAGGTGTGTCCCCAAATCTAGAAGGTTATCCACATCCTCTGTTGACCCAACTGGGAGCAAAACTGGCCTTCCTGTCCACTGCTGCTGGGAACCCTGGATGGGGGCCTTGGCTATAGCTAGCATTTTACTCATTGGCCCAACAATCCCAATTCTAGGAATCTGTCCCAAATATTCACTGGCAAAAATAGAAAATCATGTTTGCACGAGGTTATTCACTGTGGTATTTTGAGTTGCAAAAGATTGGAAACACACCACCTGCCAATCGATAGGGCTCTGGTTTTAGTTGAAGAAACCATAGTTTAGGGGTTTCCCTGGTGGTCCAGTGGTGAAGACTCTGCACTCCCAATGCAGAGGGGGCCTGGGTTTGATTCTGGGTCTGGAAACTAGATCCCGCGTGCCACAACGGAAAGATCCTGCACAGCCGAATAAGTAAATAAATGAAATATTTTTAAAAACATAGTATGTTTGCACAACTGAGTGGTAGGGGGCTGCATGCAGGACTTTCTGAACTGGGTGGAGAAACCCCTAGGACATATTGCTCAGTGGGAACAAAGAGAGGGGCCCAGCAGTTCGTAGTCTGCTAACCTCCAATAGAAGAGCGGGAGAAAATACTAGACTTGAAAAAAAATTGCAGAAAGCAATGCTGAAAGGATAAAGCAAAGACAAATTTTAAAGTGGTTCTGACAGGTGAAAGGTGGGATAGTAAAAGTGGTAAAGTCACTCAAAGGCAACCACTAAAAGGAACGAAATAGGGTCATTTGTAGAGTCATGCTTATAAATTATTTTAAAATCACACATGTAATTTTGTAAAGCTTGGGGAGCAGAGTCAGGAACAGGGAGTCGTTAACTTTTGCTTTGTCCCTCCCTGTGTTGTTTGAATCTGTTACTGCGACAGCTGTTTCGGTTTTCGACCCCATGGAGTAGTCCATGGAATTCTGCAGGCCAGAATACTGGAGTGGGTAGCCGTTCTCTTCTCCAGGGGATCTTCCCAACCCAGGGATCGACCCCAGGTCTCCTGCATTGCGGGCAGATTCTTTACCAGCTGAGCCACCAGAGAAAGCGGGAACAAAAGGAAAAGTGCAGATCAGTGCATATGATGCAAATAAAGAAGGCTGGTTCACTGGCCTGGGTTGGAGTGGTCTCTGGAGTATAGTAAATAGAAGAGGCATGTGGCAGCACCAGTGTGTTCAGCATGATCTCATACTTGTAAGCTTTTTAAATTTTATTTTGTTGGAGTATAATTGCTTTGCAAAATTGTATTCGTTCCTGCTGTGCGATGAAGTGAGTCCGCTGTAAGTATCCATATATGCCCTCCCAGTTGGACCTCCTCCTCCCCAGCCACCCCCTATCTCCACCCCCCGCCCCCCACCCCACCAGGTCATCACAGAACACTGAGCTGCGTTTCCTGTGCTTTATAGCAGGTGCCCACTAGATATCTATTTTGCATATGGTAGTGTATATATGGCCCCTGGAGGGGAGCATGGCAGCCCACTCCAGTGTTCTTGCCTGGAGAATCCCCAGGAACAGAGGCGCCTGGCGGGCTACAGTCCATGGGGTCGCAAAGGGTCGGACACGACTGGGCAACTAAGCGCAGCACAGCACCGTCCATGTATGTCCGTCCTAATCTCCCAGCTCCTCCCACCCTTCCTTCCTGCCCCGTGTCCACATCTGTTCTCTATGTCTCTGTTCCTACCCTGGAAGCATGTTCATCTGTAACACTTTTCTAGATTCCACATATGTGCATTAATACATGATATTTGTTTTTCTCTTTCTGACTTATTCAGCAGACTGTAGGTCCACCCACATCTCTACAAATGACCCTATTTCGTTCTTTGACACATGTACCCTAATATTCATTGCAGCACTATTTACAATGGCCAGGACATGGCAACAACCAAAATGTTCAACGACAAATGAATGGAGAAAGAAGACGTGGTACGTGAACACAATGGAATATGACTCAGTCACTAAAAGGAATGAAATAGGGTCATTTGTAGAGTCATGCTTGTAAATTATTTTAAATTCACATTTGTAATTTTGTAAAGCGTGGGGAGTAGATTCAAGAGAAGGGAGTCATTACTTTTACTTTGTCCTTTTCTGTGTTGTCTGAATCTGTTACTGTGACAGTGATGTTACTTGGTTATTAGAATATGCTTTGTTTTAACATGAAATCTCCAAATTCTTTAATTTGATGAAGTATTCTTTTTTTTAAAAGTACAGTGGATTTACAATGTGTTAACTTCTGGTGTACAGCAAGGTGATTCACTTATACCTATACATATTCTTCTTTATATTCTTTTCCCATTATGCTTAATTATAGGATATTGAATATTGTTCCCTGTGCTATACAGTAGGAGCTTGTTGGTTATCCATAAAATGCATATTTTTAATAAGAAAATAAGATACACAAGGAAGTACTGAACCACAACAAGGTTGGTTCTAAGTGCCCAGTGAATGCAATGGAGGAGAGAGAATTCCGTGTGCACTCAGGTGATCAGGGAGGGCTCCCTGGAGGAGTGAGCAATGAGCTGGGCTCTTCAGGATGAAGGGTCAGCAGTTTAACCCCTGGGTAAAATTGAAATGTGGAAACAGTAGGTGAACTCCCCCGACTCCCGTCCTCTGTAGATGGGGCATGAGGAGGCGAATAGCACCTGCCTCAGTTTTTGTGAGCATCCACTGGTCTGTGGGTGTTAAAAAGCCTACCTGTGTGCAGCAGACTCTCAGAACTGTGACTTTCACTGCGCCTTTTTATATATTACTATAATTCAACAACAAATGCCCATGGTGGTTGACCATATCTCAGGGCCTGAGTCAGCTTCTGAGGACAGGTAGATGCCTCTGGCCCTCCCTGCCCAGGTCGGTTGTCCCCTCATGGCAGCAAGGGCCTGTCCCCTGGCTCCCCAGGGGGGTGGGGGGGACCCTGGCCATTTTGGTTCGCATTTATATCCCCAGGGCCCTAGCCCTGTGCCTGCCACTTCGGAGGCGCTCAGTAAGTGTGTTGTAGAATGAATGGATGGATGGATGAAGAAATTGACAAAGGAGTGAATTAAAGGGTCCTGCTCTCAGGGCTGGACCATCAACCCGCAGTGGGAAGACACAGGTCAAAGCGCTCGGCGCACGTTGCTGAGCTGGTGCCTGAGTCACGACCGTGTGGGCGCCTGCGGGCGCAGGGGCGGCCCAGCCTGGCCTCGCGCTGACCCTTGGGTCCCTCCGCAGGTGAGTGCCCCAGTCCCGGGCGCAGCAGCGCCGCCAAGCGGAAGAAGAAGCAGCGGCGGAACCGCACCACCTTCAACAGCAGCCAGCTGCAGGCGCTGGAGCGCGTTTTCGAGCGCACGCACTACCCCGACGCTTTCGTGCGGGAGGAGCTGGCCCGGCGGGTCAACCTCAGCGAGGCGCGCGTCCAGGTGAGCGCTGCGCGCCCGTGGGCTCCTCGCAGGAGCGTGTGCAGCCACCACACACCCAGGGTTAAGGAACTGCCGAGGCGTGCGGGGGCGTCTGAGGCCGGGAGGGCTGAGGGTCCAATCCGAGCCCTGCCTCTGGCAGCTGCGTGAGCTTGAACAAGCTACCTAACCTCTCTGTGCCATAGGTGGTGGTGGAGGTTTAGTCGCTCAGTCGTGTCCGACTCTTGCGACCCCATGGACTGCAGCCCGCCAGGCTTCTCTGTCCACGGGATTCTCCAGGCAAGAATGCTGGAGTCGGTTTCCAATTCTTCTCCAGGGGATCTTCCCAGCCCAGGAATCGAACCCAACCGGGGTCTCCTGCACTGCAGGCAGATGAGCTAAACGGGAAGCCCGTAGGGTGGCTTCCCTGAAAAATGAGGACCGCGTGGGTCTATTTCAGAGCATTCTCATGAGAAAGAAAAGTTATTTTTGTAGCTTAGCTCAGTGTCTGGCGCAGAGGGTTTTGATAAATAAAAGTCGTTTTAAAGTGTCCAGGGCTTGCTCCGTGCCAGCCCTGAGCAGAGTGCCCAGCATACACCTCTCTTCGCTACAACCTCCCAGCAGCTAAATGCTCATCGGTTCATGCCTTCATTCCCCCACGCGCACGTTCTCCAACCACTGACCCAGCGGCAGGCACTATATCGCCCCCCATTTTACAGATGGGGAAACTGAGGCTCAGGGAGGTGAAGCCGCCAGTGTAGGGTGGGTGACAGAGCAGGCACACAGTGGGTCCAAAAGGACTTGGGTGTCCCTGGCAGCCTGCTCACGGCTCCTTGCCACCCCCAGGTCTGGTTTCAAAACCGCCGGGCCAAGTTCCGCAGAAACGAGCGGGCCATGCTGGCCAACCGCTCGGCCTCGCTGCTCAAGTCCTACAGTCAGGAGGCCGCCATCGAGCAGCCGGTGGCTCCCCGGCCCACCACGCTGAGCCCGGACTATCTCTCCTGGACAGCCTCGTCCCCCTACAGGTGAGAGTGGGAACTGCTTCGGGTCGGGGTTGGGGGGCAGGCGGCGGCCCGGAGACCCTATAGGGTGTTTTAGGATCCAGATTCCTTGGAGGCTCTGGAGAGAACTGTGAAAGGGGCCCAGGCCCTCTGTGGACTGGGGGTGTGTGGGCAGGCGTGTGACTGTGGGCATGGAGGAGGGGTGTGTGTGTGTGTGTGTGTGTGCACGTGTACCTATAAATGTGTGGACTGGCAAGATGAGACCTGTCTGGAGGGAGTGGAGAATCCAAGTCACCCTGAGGGAGCTGAACAGCTGCCAATTTCTGGGACGACCCTGGTGGTCCAGTGGCTAAGTCTCTGCACTCTCAATGCCCGGGGCCCGGGTTCCATCCCTGGTCAGGGAACTAGATCCCACAACTTCAGCGGAACTGTAACAGCCACAACTAAAAGAGCCCGCCTGCCACAACAAAGACCCAGTGCAGCCAAATAAATTACTAAATAAATATTTTTTAAAAATAAAAAAGAAAGAAAAAACAGCTTTCTAGGCTGGCCTGAGCGCCTCAACACCTCTTGTCGGTCATCCCAGAGAGAGGCTGGGAGGGGCCTCAAGGACGGTTCCCAGTCCCGGGGATCTGGCTGAGACCCAGAGGTGAGGTCTGAGGCAATTTTGTCCTGGTTAAAGCCGGAAAAGGTGGCAGGGCAGGATGGGAGAGGGAGGGGGTGCTGGGGAGTTGGGGTTTTGCACCCCACAACTCCTGGGGGTGCTGTCCACCCCTTAGTCTGTGTGAGCAGCTCTGCTAGAGCCCTGGTCTCAGGATATCCAGTGGGTCAGCTCATGGGATCTGAGTCCTGGAGATGCCCATGCTAGACCCACAGCCCTCCCACCCCCTCCCTGCCCTCTCCTTAGCTGGGGCAGAAGAACCATCAAGAGGTATCCTTCCATACAGGTGTGTGTTCATCCCACCCCCATCCTGCTCTGTGTCAGGCACCAGGTGGGCGCTGGGGGTGGGGGGTGGACAGGATGCAGGAAGCTCCTGGTCCAGTGAGGAATGACCTCAAACCTGCAGGGGCGGCTCCAGGTCCCAGCGCCGACCATGGGCCCTTCTGCCTCCGCCCTAAATCTTGCGGCCGCAGGTCACCTCCAGCCCCTGGGGAAGGCTGCCCACGAGCTGAGGAGGGGAGGCAGGAGGACCAGAGGCTGGGGCCCAGGACGGACAGCCAGGGGTGGTCAGCTCCGGGCAGCACCAACATGTCCTTGGGTCTTGTGTCACCCCCAGCACGGTGCCGCCCTACAGCCCTGGAGGCTCAGGCCCCGCGACCCCGGGGGTCAACATGGCCAACAGCATCGCCAGTCTCCGTCTCAAGGCCAAGGAGTTCAGCCTGCATCACAGCCAGGTGCCCACCGTGAACTGACAGCCAGCTCCGCCAGGATCCCAGTGCCTCCCTGGTCTGACGACAACAGAAAAGAGGGCAGACACGCGGGAAAGTGACCTTCTCCTGTCCCCTGTCTCCGGGACAGGCTGGCTGGGCTCTCCTGGCCCTTCTCTGCAGCCCAGACTCCTGGGCCCAAGAGGCTGCTGAGACGCCTGGAGCCTGGCTCAGCCCCTCATCCCTGGCCGCTGGAGACTTCGGCCCCTGATCCTTGGAGGGGTTGGGCCAGAAGGTGGAATAGCAGTTCACCGAGGACCTCACTTACTTGGTGTATGAAAGCCAAAAAGCTGTTGTCTGTAAGAAATAAAAAAAGAATAAATTGTTTAAGCCCCCAAAGGTTGCGGGGAGGGCGGACAGGACAGCAAACCAATGAGGGGCCACTTTGGGGGCTAGCTGCCCTCATCTGGGTCCCTCGTTCTGCAAAAGTGCCCCATCACCCTGCAGACCCCAGGGGCGGGGAGTGGGGTTGGAGGACAGAGACCTGCCCTGGAGCCCCTGACACCCAGGTGTTTGGGAGAAACACTGCTGCGTGACTCTGGGCAGGATCCCAGCCCTCTCTGGGCAGGGAGTGTCTCCCCTACCCTATGGCAGGGGCAGCGTGGGTGTGGGGGGCAAAGGCTGGAGTTAAAGCCCTCACTGCTGGACATGCAGGAGATGTGGGTCCCCCTGGGCCTTTGGCTGTGGAGGGGCCTGGGCAAATGGCCCAGACAGTGGGCGTGCAGAGTGGAGGCCCCAGATGGGCTCACAGGACAGAGTGGTCCTAACAGCCAAGACCACCAGAGCCCTTCTCCCAAGTTCTCCAGGATGCCCTTTCCCAGATGGTTACTGGGGGTGACAGAGGACATGGGTGCCAGCAGCCACTTAGGAGTCTGCAGAAAATTGTGTAGTGAGGGGAGTGGTCTGAAGCCAGCCCTTTCCATCTGGCCCCAGGCTCCCCCTCCTGATGGGCATAGCCTCCAGGGAGGTTAAGAGGTCATTTCTGCAACCAGCCCCCAGGAAGTGAGACCACACCTCCCAGGGGAATTCCCTGGGGGTCCAGTGGTTAGAGCTTCCCAGGTGGCGCTAGTGGTAAGGTTCTCTCACACCTTGCAATGCAGGAGACATAAGAGACATGGATTCGATCCCCGGGTGGGGAAGGTCCCCTGGAAGCAGGCATGGCAACCCACCTCCACTATTCTAAGAGTAGGACATGACTGAAGCGGCTTAGCATGCATGCCCGCCAGTGGTTAGAACTAAGTGCTTTCACTGCTGTCTCCCAGATTCAATCCCTGACTGGGGAACCAGATCCTACAAGCCACGTGGCATAGCCAAAAAAATAGAAAAACAAAAAATACACTTCCCGACCCCGAGATGACCCATAAGTGTTCAGCCCCTCATCACACTGCTGGACTCCACGAGTGGACCCCTCTTCTCCAGTCTGCCCTGCCCACACGGTATCAAAGTGCCCCAAAAGGGCCAGCATCCTCGCCACAGGCTGCATCTTCCACGTGACCTTGAACAGGTCAAAGCCACATGGCAATCCTAACATAAGAAACGGTTTCTGTTTTTGTTTTAGAAAGTGTGACTGTCCCCGAGTGAGGTGAGGACCTTCCCCATCTCCCCCAAGTCACCCCCAGAGATTCTTCCCCATCTTCCACTGGGAATTCCACCATGAAAACACAGTTCCTGTGGGGCGGGTGTCACCTTCTTCAGAACTGCCAAAGGCCACCGGGACCATCGCCATGTGACTGTGATGGGAGGTTGGGGCTCTGGTCCATGGAGGGGGGGTACCAGTGAGGGGAGGCACTGGCTCTGGCTAAAGGCGTAGGGAGGGTCATTCTGCTGATGTCTGCAGCTGGCTCTGCCCACCTGACTACAGGGGCCAGAGCAAGGAGAGACCAGTGCCCTGACCATGTGTGTGTGACGGGGGACAGGGATGGGGGTGAGGGGGCGACAGTCAGAGCTGTGTCTTCTTGCTCAGTTTGGCCTCTGCCTTGGGCAAGTGATTTCTGTGTCTCCATTTGCCATTCATAAACTGAACAAATATAAAACTCTTGAAGTGTGCAGGGCCCTGAGCAGATAGCAGAAAACTGACATGGGGTCCCTGGCTACAGAGGCCATCTCAATCACAGGGAGCCCCAAGTTTTGTCTAAGGCATCCAGGCAGGCTTCCTGGAAGAGGTGTCCTGGAAAGATGAAGAGGGGAGGGAGAACAGTGTTTCTGGCTAGGGGAACAGCATGTGTAAAGGCCCTGCAGTAGGCCAGAAGCAGTCTCTTTGGGCCAGTGGGGGACAGTTCTGGGTCCAGATCTCATGCAGGGTGAAGATGGACAGAAGCAGGGACCAGTTCACGTGGGGTTTGTGTGGCCAGATCTGAAGTGCGGATGTCATCCTGGCAGGAGTCATGGAGGGGATTTGCTTCGTGGAGGGACCCCCCTCCTCACCTTGGACTCTGTGTGGAGGCAGAGAGACCCCTGCAGAGGCTGTCCAGGCAGGAGGGCAGCAGCCTGGACCAGATGAGGACAGAGTGGGCGATCCAGGAGGCGTCCCGGATCCAGCAGAGACAGAGGTTGATGACTAGCTGTTGGACTCGGGAGACCAGGGGGCCAGGATGTGGTTTAAACACAGGGATGCGCCCGGGAGGAAGAAACCCTGGAAACAGGACTCACCTGGTAGAGGTGGCGGGAAGAAGCCGGCCATCTTCTTCTTCCACCGGCTGGCCACTGAAGGGCTCATCAGTGCCCTTCCCCCCCGGACGAGCACTGGGGCCATCCTGGTCTGAGCAAGGTCCTCCCTGACAAGGAGCTTACCGCTCCCCTGCCCGCCCTGGGTATTTGCACCAGCCAAGAGCCAGTGCACAGGGTCCAGAGCTGTGCCCTCATGGGCAACAAAGAAAAATGGTCTCTTTCTTCCAAGAAGCACTGGACTGGTCGTGAGCGAGTGGACGAGCCCGCCCAGGTTCTGGGCAGCACTCCGGAGTTCAGACAGAGGCACATCTGGTCTTTCTATTTTCAGTACAAAGGGAGCGGCCATGAAGCATCGCCAGGTTGGGGCTGCCTGCAGCAGAGATGGGCTCCCACCGGGCGGGGGGCTCCCACTGGGTGAGGAGCTCCCACTAGGGCCTGGAAAGGCAGGTCCTGAGACCAGGTTCAGAGAGAGAGCCGTGGGCCCGGTTCCCACAGAGGCGCTGGCCCTGCCATCAGGCCGCAAGGATGTCAATGTCACTTCCTCCCCAGCACTCTAGAAAAAACAAACCAGCTTAATCGTTTACACATGCAGCTCTGGGGAGCTTAGGGAGGGAGCACCGGGGCCCTCCTTGTGAAAGAAAATATATTCCAACATTGCTGTCGCTATTGTAGCCCTAATTACAGGGCTTGCGTGGGCAGCCCCCTGGGCAACCATCCAGGGATATAATTTTTCCATGAAGATAAGGTACCCGAGGCCCCCGTCCCAGGCTGGGAGACTTTGGAATCCTCCTCCCTCCGCCTCCCCTTTGCCCATTTGGCCAAGCAGGCTTTGGACGGGGCATGGTGTGCCTCGGCTTCTGTTTCTGTTTGAAAGATGGGAACTTGAGAGAAAGAAGGAGAGATGGAAGGAAAGGCAAACTCTGGCTCTTCTTGCCAAACCCAAAACCTGAGAAATAAAGACCAGAGTTTTACCTTAGGCGAGGCACATCTCCAGGCCTCAGTTTCCCTCCTCTGTGAAATGGGGGTGATGACAGAAGCCACCTCTCAGGGTTGTTGGCATGGAGTGACCCTCCATCAACAAGCGCTTTCGTGGTTTTGGTGGAAAAATACAGTGACGGGTGGAGTTTGAGAAAGTCAACATACTCCCCATTCTGGAGTAAAATTGGCTTTCCTTGCCCAGAGAGTCTGGCTCTCCCCTTTGCCCCTTGCAAGCACACACTCCGTGGGCACAGCTGGGGTCGGGGGGCGGGTACCAAAGCAACATGGCACCCCCAGCTTCTGCACTTTTGCTTCTGGCCCCTGGAGGGCGCTGTGGGGAGCTCTGTGTCTGTCCAGCCAGACACAGAGCTGGGAGAACCAGGGCTCTCTCCCACCAGATGGCCAGAGCCGGGCCAGGCTCCTGACCTGAAGACAAAGTAACAAGCAAGTCCCAAATCACCAGCAGGGGTCCCTGTATAAACATCTACACAAGCATTTTGGAAAACGTACCAACAGCCTCAAAAAGGCTTGCATACTTTCACCCACTTATTCCTTCTCTAAGCCCTACTTCAAAAAGTAATCCAAAATAAGGGGGAGGGGCCGGGGAGAGGGTAGCAATGTGTGCCAAGATGTTTGTCATACATTTTCATGCAATGTAAAAAATCTGGGAAGACCCAAACCAGAATGTAAATACTTTATAATGGCTCACAATCCACTTGTCTCCATGTTCTCTGTAATGAGATTAATAACCTCACAGGGAAACAAGACAAGCAGGCCAAAGTGATCGTCCCAGCTATATAAGTAGCTCTTTGAAGTAGGAGAAAAAAAGTGCTTTCTTCCCTTTTATGTCCCTTTCATGGTGCCTCAGTTGAGAGATGGACTTGTCTTTTCAGTGACTATTGATGAGTGAGTAGCCCCCATCTGAAGCTCTCCCCTTCACTCCTGTTACCCCACTGGGAGTCCTCCAGGTCTTGAAGCTTGTGATTATCAAGAATTCCCTTCTCTATTGAAAGTGCTGGAAAGAGTGAATTGAGAGCTTCTTAACATTTAGCTCACATCTTAGAAGACGTGGGAATGGATTGAACTTGGGAATATGAGGGGTCAAGAGTGGGCCCCTTGAATTCAGAAGGTGCCCTTGAAAAAGTAGTGTGGATGGCATAATTCTAGGATGGCCCCATGATTCCCACCCCAGGCAGACACACTTTTCATCATACCCTCTCCTTGGGTAGGGGTGGAATCTCTGACTTTATGTGATTAAGGTGCCTACTCAGTTGACTTTGATCAAAAGGGGGATTGTCCTGGGTGGGCCTGGCCTAATCAGGTAAGCCCTTTAAAAGAGAGCAGGTCTTCCCTGGAAGAAGAAATTCAGAGCAGAGAGGGAGGCTCCCTCTAGCCTTGAGAAACAAACAAGAAACCAATCCTGCTGACATCTGTATGAGCTCAGGAGAGGACACTGAACTCCAGATGAGACCTCAGCTGGGGACTCCTTGACTGCAGCCTGTGAGACCCTGAGCAGATGACCCAGTTAAGCTGTGCCCAGGCTCCCGGCCTATAGAAACCGTAAGATCATAAATGGCTGTTGTTTTCTTTCTTTTTTTTTTTTTTTTCTTTTTGCTGTGCCACACAGCTTGTGGGATCTTAGTTCCCCAACCAGGAGACCAGGGATTGAACCTGTGCCCCCTGCAGTGGG